TTTTGTATTTATTATCCAGGTCCGCATTTATGTTCGCGAACACACACACACACATACACTCCCATCGTTACATACCTTTTACTCTAAAAAATATATATTATATCTAAATATTATATCTAAATATCATATCTAATATTATATCTAATGTGTTAAGTAATTTAGTTATGGAATAATTATTAAATAAAAATAATTATATTTAAATGAAATATTTTAGTTAATTTCTTTCATTCCCTCGTATATCGGCCCTGCTAAAAAAGATTCGCACACGGTCCTTTCCCGGGTAAAAGTGATTCGGTTCGTTGACCTACAATGGGACCTACGATCGACTCTTGAAATCGGAGTCATAGCGTCTTATCGGGACGTTGACCTATATTTTGGAGTCACCTAAGTGCGTTCGACTCGCTCCATCCTCTTCCACTCGGATGCATGCGAGACATAGCGTCTGCTCTAACATCCTTCCATACTCCATCCTTCTCATTCCTTCTTTCTCTCAAACGATCCATTCATACATTAGGAGTTGGACGTAACAAATTATTACCCTTCTTTGATTCTTTGAATTCTGTCTACCGTTACTGGAAAACGAATCCAATTATTCATCACACAATTCAATGCATTAACAGTTGCATGAAGAGAACGGCTTAATGATGTTTGCGACATACATGTTAAAAAATCCTGGCCGATTCTTCTTTGATATGATCCTGCCGCAAAAAAGTTTAAAGACGCCAATCTAAATAAAATAATTATACATTAAATTAAGAAGATTTGATAAATCATTAAGAATTTAATAGCTACATAAATTTAAAATATATTATACCTGAAATACATGAGATATAGCAGTTACTCGTGTTATCTGAGGCATATGTGGTACTAATTCTTCTATTAATATTCTTGTTGTATTCTTCGTCAGTCTAAAGAACAAAAAGTGTATATTATACAGGGTGTCCCATTTTAAAACTTCCACGCGATTATCTCAGAAAGAAGGCGTTTATCGAAAAAATGTTTCAGACAAAAGTTGCAGGGATCAAACGGGGTCAACCAGTAGTGACCTTGTCCTTGACCTTGGGGTCGAGTTTAAAGGTCATTTCAAGGTCAAATCGAGATTTTTAAATGGAAACCCCAATTTCTTTCTCCGGAAATGAATAGAGCGGAAAATTTCACGTTCAGATATGTGGTCATGCGAGGGCCAAAATGTCCTCTAACATTCATTCCAAGGTCAAATCAATGAAAATTCAGGGAATCGAAAACGATACAATCTTGCTGCTGCACGATATCGTCTGCAACACTCTCCTAAAATAAGTAGAATGTCAACAATTTCGTTGGCAGTGTAGTCAGGCATTGTTTAAAAAGATACTTATCAAATTAGATACTTTCCGAAAAAACGTTTGCACAACTAAACTGTCAACTGAAAGCGGTCATTATTTAAAACACGATTTTGAACACAACGCACTTTCGAACTGAAATGTGGGAGTTTAATTAAAAAAAAATAAAAAACATTCTTTGACCTTGAAATGACCTTCAAATTTGTTCCAAGGTCAAAGACAAGGTCATCGTTGGTCGACCCCTTTTGACCCCTGTAACTTTTATCTGGGATATGTTTCGAGCTTCCGCATACCTAAAATTTATCAACGT